TTCTGGAATACTCACAAAATTCTAAGAAGGAAGGTGGAGACTGACAGAAAATTGTTCGGATTTGCAAAAAATTTGCTCTATCTGCTGTCAAGGCTTCTAAGAAAGATCAAAAGAAATCTGATAATTAGCGATGTTTAGACGAGGTAAAACGAAGGGTTGCAAATTCTTGCATCTCCTCAGCACTATGAGAGAACTTCGCGATTGCAGCTGTTGAAATAAGGAAGAATTTCGCCTCAGATGCTGCTGGGAATATCTGTTCAATTTCTTTCAACGGTTTTGCCGGTACATCCAAAAAACGAGAATTCTTCCACTAACCTGAGAACTACTACGCGTCGAGCACGACATTACAACTCACCGATTCTTATACTGCAAGTGAAACTGCAAATATTTGTTGCTTTTATCGATTTGTCAACAACTGATCGTACTATGTTTATTAATACCAGTAATTATTCTTGTTTCTCTTTTTCAATTTCTTAAGCGGAAACTAATTACCTGCAATTTTTTAGCTCATATTAAAAATCGCCTTGACTTTCCCCATTCATGTTTCATTTCCAGTAATCCTAAGTTTTTTGTCTTGAGTGTCTTTTGAGGGTCTCGTTACCGAGTAATGCCAAAACTAACAGAAAAGAAAAAAGAAAAAAGGAAGAAGGTGGGACTGCGCTCGCGAACGTCATAGATTTGATACTATCTGGCGCAGTCATGTCCAATGGCAGATTTTGAACTTCCTTTTTTGATTTGTGTCCAGGCATAATTTTTACACAGGGCTTTTTATTTGGAAAAATGAAATGTTGCATCATGATTTTTTTGCACTTACAGAAAAGATAATGATACCATTTTTTACTAGAATTCTCCAGAATTATCCTCTCAGTACATGATAGTGCCCTTCTGTGTGTTCACCAAGCATCGAAATCGAATCTCTCATTGCGTCATCGATGTACACGAACTGTGCCAATTTCCGCGAAATTTCGCAATTCTGCCTGGCTCAAGACACACTATTTCTTGCGTTTCACTTCAATTTTTTGCTCACAAATGGTCAGGACAGATTTGTACCCCAAATCGAATGATTTAAAGAGTAAGTTAAGAGGAAGTTCAGGCGGACGAGCGGCGATGATCTGCTGGCTGCTGGGCGTGTTGTCGGCCTGGCCCCTCCTCCTTCCGATCGATGCTGGGGACGGCGCTTATACACCGAACGCGGCCGACGGCAGTTGCAGTGTAACGCGCACAATGACAGAGGTCGGCGGTTCGTACAAGGATTCCCTTACCCAGGTACGTT